ATGCCTGTCCGATACGTATTGGAAGTTAATTTTGATACGATATGTTCTTGTATATTGACCCGTATCGATAAATTGAAAAAAACCCTACAGTCAGCAGCCTTCAAAATTTACACAAGACCATTGTCGTAAATTTACCTTCTGTTTATATATTGTTTTATATATTATGACACAACGTTGCAATTCAAATATTGCTTTGGCATTTACTTAGTACTCCCACAAACTTTTATTAGCTCACCTGAGCCGAAGGCTCCAGTGAGCTTTTCTGATCACATTTTGTCCGTCGTCCGTCCGTCTGTAAAATTTTCACTTTTTCGACTTTTTCTCAAGAACCACTGGATCAATTTTGACCAAACTTGATACAAAGCATTCTTAGGCAAAGGAAAATTTAAATTGTAAAAATGAAGAGCGAAGTCCTATCACAAGGGGAGATAATCAAAAAAAGATAAAAATAGGGTGGGGTCATTAAAAAATCTTCTTCTCAAGAACCACTGGGCCAGAAAAGCTGAAACTTATGTGGAAGCATCCTGGGGGTAGTGTAGATTCTAAATTGTTAAAATCATGACCCCCGGGGATAGGGCGGGGCCACAATGGGGAATCAAAGTTTTACATAGAAATATATAGGAAAAATCTTTAAAAATCTTCTTCTCAAGAACCACTGGGCCAGAAAAGCTGAAACTTACATGGAAGCATCCTGGGATAGTACAGATTTTAAATTGTTCAAATAATGCCCCCCGGGGGTAAGGCGGGGCCACAATGGGGAATCAAAGTTTTACATAGAAATATATAGGAAAAATCTTTAAAAATTTTCTTCTTAAGAACCACTGGGCCAGAAAAGCTGAAACTTACATGGAAGCATCCTGGGGTAGTGCAGATTCTAAATTGTTCAAATAATACCCCCCAGGGGTTGGGCGGGGCCACAATGGGGAATCAAAGTTTTACATAAAGATATATGGGGACAAATCTTTGAAAATCTACTCAAGAATCACTGGGCCAGAAAAGCTGAAACTTATGTGGAAGCAACCCAGGGTAGTGTAGATTCCAAATTGTTAAAGTCATGACCCCCGGGGTTTGGCGGGGCCATAATGGGGAATCAAAGTTTTACATAGAAATATATAGGAAAAATCTTTAAAAATTTTCTTCTTAAGAACCACTGGGCCAGAAAAGCTGAAACTTACATGGAAGCATCCTGGGGTAGTGCAGATTCTAAATTGTTCAAATCATACCCCCCGAGGGTTTGGCGGGGCCACAATGGGGAATCAAAGTTTTACATAACGATATATGGGGACAAATCTTTGAAAATCTACTCAAGAATCACTGGGCCAGAAAAGCTGAAACTTATGTGGAAGCAACCCAGGGTAGTGTAGATTCCAAATTGTTAAAGTCATGACCCCCGGGGTTTGGCGGGGACATAATGGGGAATCAAAGTTTTACATAGAAATATATAGGAAAAATCTTTAAAAATTTTCTTCTTAAGAACCACTGGGCCAGAAGAGCTGAAACTTACATGGAAGCATCCTGGGGTAGTGCAGATTCTAAATTGTTCAAATCATACCCCCCGAGGGTTGGGCGGGGCCACAATGGGGAATCAAAGTTTTACATAATGATATATGGGGACAAATCTTTGAAAATCTACTCAAGAATCACTGGGCCAGAAAAGCTGAAACTTATGTGGAAGCAACCCAGGGTAGTGTAGATTCCAAATTGTTAAAGTCATGACCCCCGGGGTTTGGCGGGGCCATAATGGGGAATCAAAGTTTTACATAGAAATATATAGGAAAAATCTTTGAAAATTTTCTTCTTAAGAACCACTGGGCCAGAAAAGCTGAAACTTACATGGAAGCATCCTGGGGTAGTGCAGATTCTAAATTGTTCAAATCATACCCCCCGAGGGTTGGGCGGGGCCACAATGGGGAATCAAAGTTTTACATAATGATATATGGGGACAAATCTTTGAAAATCTACTCAAGAATCACTGGGCCAGAAAAGCTGAAACTTATGTGGAAGCAACCCAGGATAGTGTAGATTTTATATTGTTAAAGTCATGACCCCCGGGGTTTGGCGGGGCCATAATGGGGAATCAAAGTTTTACATAGAAATATATAGGAAAAAATCTTTGAAAATCTTCTTCTCAAGTACCACTGAGCCAGAAAAGCTGAAACTTATGTGGAAGCATCCTGGGGTAGTGTAGATTTTAAATTGTTCTAATCATGACCCCTAGGGGTAGGACGTTGGCCACAATGGGGAATCAAAGATTTACAATGTTGAATCAAAGCATCCTATGGTAGTATAGATTTCAAATTGTTTAAATTATGATCAGTGGGGTAAGGTGGGGTCACAATATGTATTACAAGGGGGAAATCTGGTAAAAAACGGAATGTTCAAAGCTCTCAGGTGAGCGATGTGGCCCATGGGCCTCTTGTTACATATATGGTCACATATATTGCCTCAAAATAATTGATAAATTGCCTTGCAAATGCAGAAGGACAGAAGTGCAGACATAGGATTAATAGTGCATGAGCTACATTTGTGGTAAGTAAGTTTAAGGGTCGTGGTGCATCAATCAGTTATCCACATATTAGAATGCTTTGCAAGGGAGATAATGGAGTTCAATTTTCAGATTTGGGAAACAGAATGTTTATTTATACTTTGAGAAATTATATCAATTGTGTAATTTTGTTTTGTGACCATTTCTGTGATGCTTGTCATGAGCCCCATTGTGTACGAGTTGCACATTTATCATTTTCAATGCAATTTGCATTTATTTTAAAATTTCAATCTTAAGGCGCAATTTGTGCCTTTCACTTACCAATTTGGTTATTTAGTGCAATTTGTACCTAATTTGTGCACGATTTGAGCTTTTATTGTTGATCTGGGCGGCAAAATCGCCGCCCCAATTTTTAGTTTGAGACGGATGGGTCTTGCGACTATGTCCCTTGACCCATTTTGCTTAATACATATATTTTGGTGCGATTTGTACCTAATTTGTGCACGATTTGTGCTTCTATTGTTGATCTGGGCGGCAAAATCGCCGCCCCAATTTTAGTTTGAGACGGATGGGTCATGCGACTACCGGGTATGTCCCTTGACCCATTTTGCTTAATACATATATTTTGGTGCGATTTGTACCTAATTTGTGCACGATTTGTGCTGTTGTTACCCTGGGCCGCAAAATTGCCGCCCCAGTTTTAGTTTGTGGCGGATGGGTCACGTGACTTTGTCCCTTGACCCATTTGGCATAATTTTGCAAAAAATGCTGTCTCCGGGGGGTACTGATTTTTTCCAGACTCCTTGGATCAAGGTGGTATTTCTCTTGCTCATCATCTATATTCATTTACCTCTGCTGCCATATAATCATAATGATCGGTGCATACATTGTGTTATATCTAATTTATTATTAAATGGCCATGACAAGCACGCCAAAACAAATAAAGCCTTGTTTTTATTGACTGTATTTTCATACTTCTTACACCTTTTACTGGGGTTAATCTGATCAAGTGTGTTTCTGTTATTGTCTTCGTCCAATGTCACGAAATAACATTTATGACCAGTAGATAGATTTTATTATTAATAATCAATAATGGACATGTAGCTCTGTGACACAGTTTTATTAAATGTCTAAGTAATCCGTCAACAGTTAATGTAGGTGCTTCTAGCAAAAGCCCATTAGTAAACATTCCGTTAACTAGCTAAGATAGTGAGAAGTAGGTAAAATCCACCTGTGACGTCATTCTTTTGTTTGAACGCTCCATTATTTTTAAGGAATGGAGAGTTGCATATATTCACTGAAATCGGAATTTGTTATGGTCTTATTCTCCTTTCCGTGCCTCTATCAAGGAAAGTACTTATAAAATTTTTGAGAAGAGTTTTAGAACATTGTATACAGGTTAGTCTCACAGTAAGAAAATTAGGTTTTCATACTTCACATATTTAATACTTGTTACATTAAACCTTACCTAAGAAACCATCAATTTTGACCCTTGAATTTGACCTGCCTTTCAAAAACTTATCCTTAGCCATTATTTTTTAACAATTGTATTTCTTGTGAGAAGATCCTACTTTGGGTAGCAATATATTTAAATTGCATTTAAGAAAAGTTTAATCTTCGCTATGTTGCCATTCAGGGGCATACATGTAGCTGTTTCACAAACACGTCTTTTTATTTATAAGAGAAGTTGCAGATAATAGATGGATACCCAAAAGCGTAACAGACGGAAGGGCGGGCATCCCGATCACTTTATACCCTCCCGCTTTTCAAGCGGAGGATACAATAATATATAATAATGCTAAGTTTTTATGTCAGTACGATGATTTCCACCATCGAAAAACAAAGTTTACCAGACCCTTTAGGCTCGATAAATCGTTTACTCCTTCAGATTCATTGACCTTGAAATATAGCCATAATTGTATAATTTTATGAGATCAACATATCATCAATTTATTCCCAATTAGACCAGGTGAGTATTTTGGCCGTTATGCTTCTTTATCTATTTTTTTTGCCCCCTAAAAATTTCAACTTTAATCCACAGGGAGTCATTTTTCTACGGGGGTCATTTTTCTTCACGTGGGTTCTGCAAATTTTCAGGGTGGTTACACTTTTTCTACGGGAAAGGGTCATATTTCGACGTCGAATAATGACCATGGGTCGTTTTGGAATATGTCTATCCGTGATAAGCAAATTTTGTGGTTATATAGGTTTAACAAAAACACATAATCAAAAATGCAATGCTATATCAATCAATGAATGAACAAATACTGACACACACACACACACAAAATTAAAATTGGGCTTTGAATCTTTACAACTCTCTTGAATCACAAAAGTGAGTTCAAGGACCAGAGTCCACTTGAACAGCAAGCATACAGGTAATTAATGTAAAGAAATTAACATTCTTCATATTTTTTCAATTTTTAACAATCTAAGGTTTTTTTTCGAAAAAAAAAATTGTCATTGGCCGACCAAAGCATAATACAAATAATATAAAACAGTATTCTCAAATGATGAACTGTCACGGTTTTCTTATGTTCCAGAATTCTGACATTTCTGTGGTGTTTATGAAATGCTGATCTTTAATTGGATGCAGTGGACAAATAATTTCACCATCTTTTTCACAAATATATTTGTCCTGCACATATTGTCCTTCGATATCTACAGCAATAACCTGTCCCCCGTCTTCTCGACATTTAAAGCCTCTTTCATATAAAATGCTTCTGTGAAAAGTCCCCGAAATGTCATTTAAGATGTCCTCTATAATATTTTGAATTTTGTATGTTTTATCTTTTTCTAAAGAACATCTTGGAACAGGGTGAAATATTTGTAGCTGTATTGATGATTCCGTAACAGAAAGGACAATATTGTATTTTTTTACAGAAAACAAAGCCGCATTTCTATACAGACAGGATGTTCCATCAGTGATTAATATTTTCCAGTCTTTTAACTGCATGCAAGACACAACGAGGCGGAAGAAGAGGAAAAATGGTAAGAAGCTAAACCTGTAGATCAGGACAGATGTTTTACTTTTCGATCTCTGAATGAGATCAGGAATAGCTTTCTCTATTTCTTTCCTGTTCATGCACGGAACATAGTGCGATTTGTTTCCAACAGCCATCAATCCAAGTCTTTGCATAAAACTGAGGAGTTCTGTTTTATGGTAGAGTAAATATCGGGGATTTGAAATCCATCCTCCGAAAGAGATTCGCTCTTTTTCGTTTGGGTATTTTTCAAATAATCTTTTATCTTCATCCATCCAGATCTCTGTCAGAAGTTGGTCCTCCAAATTTCCTGTCCTGTAGAACTCCTCCCAATCTATGCGGGCCACAGGAATACCTTTAAAATGAAGTTTGTCAGTGATTATGTTTTTGAAAGCGTCGATAAACCACTGAACGTCAATAATGAAATACTCCTTAAGTCCCTCCTCATTAAAATAAAGAACCTTTCCTGCGTCATGGTAGTATCGTAACATATCGCTCTCATTTGTCAATTTTCCGTTTGGATTATTGGTGTTGATGCCAACAGCAATTTTAGTAGTAAGATCTTGAATTTTTAAAGTCCTCTCTGAATGTTTTCTTATTTTAATTTCTAATTCAAGGAAGGCCCATTCTTTTGGAATAGTTTCTTTCCATCGCTGATGATTTGCAATATCACAAATGCGCTCTGATAGACTGTGAAGTGGTTCGATTGGAAACTGTATACAATAACAGTTATTTTCTACGATATATTGTGATAAATTCCAATTCTTTGGGATCTGTTGATGAAGACTGTCCATAAAGGCGTGTTTATCCTGTAATTGTAAATAATTTCTGTTACATCGTTTGTTTTCGTAAATGATCAGACTTTATTATCTTCATTTAGCTTGTAAAAAATAGAAACTCTACTTTTTGAGGCTTCAAGAAAAAAAAACCGAGCGTATTTCAAATTTTGGTGCTTTGATTACTTAAAAGACAGAACGAAATCTGCATAGAAACCAGAAGTAAATTAAAATGTTTACTATTTTTTGTACATTATTTACATGTTCGGCGATTTTCAAAACAGATATTTGAAGAACGTTTCATCTGGTCTTATATGATTTACTTACATTGTTGCCTTGTCATTTTTTTCTAATATATATATATATATATATATATATATATATATATATATATATATATATATATATATATATATAAAGCACTAAAATGACCGACGACACGAACAATAGAAATTGTCAAATTTTCGGACGCCCTGTCCCTTCCTCAGGACAAAAAGATCATTAGAACAAAGGAAAAAGAAAAAACAATAACAACTAACATTACTACTAAACACTATATATTTACAAACTTAGTTACATGTTGAAATTGAATTTTTTGAGAACACTATAATTAAAAAAATAATTCCGGACCGCTTTGAAATATGTCCGGTCTATCGGGTATGCTCGGGTGAAGTGCAATTTACAATAATTGAACGAATTAAATATGCTAATTAATTACGACAATCAGTAAATCGTACATTGTTTCATTCTCTCAATATGGCGTAACTATACTTAATAAAGAATAATCAAAGAAAAATAATACAGTAGGGATATTCTTAAATATGAATTATGATCTATTATAAATTTTGAAATATTATAGGACTTTAAAGAAATTTTTAAAAACACTATAATTAAAGAAATAAATCAGGACCGCTATGAAATACGTCCGGTCTATCGGGTATACTCGGGTGAAGAACGATTTACATAATTGGACGAATTAATTATGCTAATTAATTACGACAATCAGTAAATCGTACATTGTTATATTCTCTCAATATGGCGTAACTATACTTGATAAAGAATAATCAAAGAAAAATGATACAGCAGTGATATTTTAAAATATGAATTATGATCTATTATAAATTTCTAAATATTTTAGGACTTATTATCGGGAAAAAATAATTAACAAAGGCGTAAACAATTCATAGTTGTGTGGGTTGTTCGAGAGATGGTGACGCAAATTAACTGTAGAGTTAACACTAAATTGAGAGAATAATCTTGTTTAGTATCTTCAGGAATCGGGTCTAGTTTATATGTTCATTCTGGTGAAGTCATTCAGTTTGTTAATGCCATTAGGGCGGAATGACTTCAGTCTGTGCATCCAGAACTTTTCCTTGCTTTTTCTCTGAGCATCTTTCCATCTTGGGTTATGGTCAATCACCACAACTGTCATGTCTTCCCATTTGTGACCCTCAAGGTTGAAATGTTCCCCAACAGGTTCATTAAGTTTTTTTGGTCCTGATGGTCGAACGGTGGTTATTGACTCTCCTGCGGAGATCTCCTGTTTCACCAATATACTGTTTGGAGCAAACTTTGCAACTGATGAGATAAATGCAGTTGTCAGTATGACAGGACAAATTCCCTAGTATTTTGTAGCTGCGGCCTGTAACAGGGCTGTTAAAACTGTCCATGTCAGTGCTGTGCTTACAAAGAAGACATCTTCTGTCAGAGCAAGTTTTAAAGCCCCCGTTAGGTAATGGGTTGTCCAGTCTGGTTCTTACTACCATGTCCTTTAGGTTCCTTGGGCGTCTGTACGCAGCCAATGGGGGTTCCTTAAAGACCTCTGCCATTCGTTTGTTTGAATGGAGAATTGGTAGGTTCCTTTGAAGGATACCGCTAAGGTTCTTAAGGACGGGATGGTATGTGGTTACCAGAAGGAACCTTGCCGCTATTTTCTTTCTCCTTGTAGCATAATAAGTTTTGCCTGTCATGTCCCGCCATCTCATCAATAGCTGTTTGTACGGTGCGGGCATTGTAGCCTCTTTTGCATAAGTGGGACTTAAGAAGACCACTTTGCCCCTGATATAAGGCAGGGGACGAACAGATGCGTCGAATTCTGGTGGCTACACCCTTAGGCACTCCCTTAAAAGTGTGTGGGGGATGACAGCTACATGTAGTGGGCATAAGATATTGGTGGGAGTCTGTGGGTTTGGTGTGGAGACTGAATTCGATTCCACCATCAATCAGGGTAGATGTAGTATCTAGGAAAACGTTTTTCGAATTAGATACGTCTACTGTAAATTTGATCGACTGATGAAAGGTGTTGGCAAACGTAATGAATGCCTCGAGGCTCTCAGGACATTCCATCCACTTCATCTCTATATCGTCAATGAAACGCAACCAGGTATGGGGCCTAAATGGTGCTTGAAGTAACAAATTGCGTTCCAGTCTGCCCATGAAGATATTGGCATAAGACGGTGCCATTTTCGTACCCATAGCAGTGCCATTAACTTGCAGGTAATGTTCTCCATTAAACATGAAGTTGTTGAACTTGAGAACATGTTCAAGGAGCTTAGCAAGGGACTCGGTAGAAGGAAGTTGTATGGTTCTACTATCCCAGACTTCTCTACAGGCTTCGATACCCTCATCGTGCGGAATATTGGTGAACAAAGACGTGACGTCCATAGTCACGAGGAGGGTATGATCTGGGAGGCCAGTAGAGGGCGTCTTGTTAATGTAGTCAGTAGTGTCCTTAAGATAGGATAGCAAACTTTCTACGTGTGGACGGATATGTAAATCAATGAATTCAGAGATCTTCTCCGTGGGGTGTCCAATTGCGCTGACTATGGGGCAACCTGGCATGCCTTCTTTGTGTATTTTAGGAAGCAGTTGAATTGTCCTGGTCTACAGTCAATAGGATTTAAGGTCTCATAGACGTTTATACAAATCTCATTTTTCTCAAACATATCGTCAAGAGTTTTGGTAATGGCGGTGGAGAATTCTTTAGTAGGGTCAGAGTCCAGTTTCTTATAGAAACGTTCGTCTGAGACTTGTCTCCGCCATGTAAGTCTCTTTATCCATTACTAAAACTGTAGACCCTTTGTCTGCTTTCTTAATTACAATGTCATCCCGATTTTTTAATGATTGTAAGGCAGATCTCTCCTCCTTACTCAAATTGTCAGGAGTTTTGTCTGGCATTGAAAGGAGCTTCTCTATGTCTGACTCAACGGCGCTGCACTTGCCCGGTGTTGGTTCCCAGGCACTCTTGGGCTTATAGAGTTTGTGTTCCTCTAGGTCGTGTAAATCTGGCTTGGAAGAGTCGTATGAATTTGCTTCGGAGTCTTTTCTAGAGAAGTGCTCCTTCAAACGAAGTCTCCGGAAGAATGCTCGGGTATATATATATATATATATATATATATATATATATATATATATATATATATATATATATATATATATATATATATATATATATATATATATATATATATGTATTTAAGGAATGAAGCTTATTTCAACTTATATTAAACGATATAACATAACTTGGGGCAGTTTACGCTTTATAAACCGCGAAGCGGTTTACAAAAAAGCGTATATTGCCCCAAGTTTTGTTATATCGTATAATATAAGTTGAAATAATCTTCATTCCTTATTATTTAATTTCAGTGCAGACAATGAGACAATTTTCCCCCAGAATAAGACTTCAACGATTTAATTTTAAAAGTAACGTCAAACGGAGTATAATATATATATATATATATATATATATATATATATATATATATATATATATATATATATATATATATATATATATATATATATATATATATATACACTGAACCAAACTTCTAAGTGTTCACCTAACATTTTTGGAGTTTTAAAGAACAAATGCAAACCATAAATAATTTCTTTAATTCTTGGTTAATGATGCATATCTAAGTTCGATGTTGCGTAAATTTTATGTAAGTATCTCGTCAGAATTTTAAGCAGAGTGTCAAAGAAATGATGTACCCCCAAAATGAAAATTCACACCAAAAAATCTCGATGGAGTAAGACCCACTACTCGCTCTTATTACCACAAGACAATCTTTATTGTTGGATACCATGTACCCCTGAATAGGAGACTGACCAATCTGCTGCCACACCTACATGTACCGCATAGATCTTTCCAAACCATTGAAATTATGAGGAAAAAAGGGGGGCTTTGACATTTCTTTTAAAATCCCAAATGTGTTCAATGGGATTCAGATCCAGGAATTTGACAGTGTATCGTCACACAAATGCCTTTTGGTCAATACCCTTGGGTGTTTAGCACGTAAGTTCGCCGCTTAAAGGATAATCCACACTGCTTGAGCTGATATAAGACTGCCACGAGCACCGATTTCTTATCATTTTCGTACGATTGAAATGGTATGTTTCCATGTTTCTATGATTTTTTCAGGACACTTTAACACCTTTTTAACCTGAAGTGACACGAAATTTTCTCCTTGGAAGAAGATCAATGTCACTTCCGGTCTGGTTCAATATTGTCAAAAACTTTCAAATTGTGATAAATTGATGCGGAAAAATGAGCACAGCCTAAAGAAAAATGTGTTTAAATGGGTTTTAATACTGTTTCATAATTTTTTAAAGTAATATCAAGTACAATTAAGCACTAAAATAAAAGTGAGTAAAACGTGGTGCAAAGATGTTCCAGATATTAACATTCCAACAGCTCTCTGTTCTATCTCAATGGTCATTTTGCCAATGTTTTGTGTTTTTTAGTAAAACCAGTTTTTAAAATTTGATAATGATCACAAAACGATGCTCATTACACAAAACACCTGCCGGAAAATACAGAATTATTGTTTTAAAGCTTCGTCACGGAACATTGGTTTTCATCAGTGATATTGAATTTTCTTTCTTTAATTGTTGAGAAGACTCATTTGTTGTAATAATTTGAAAATATCATACCATTCTATAAAGTAGTTTTTGAATAAATACATTTATTAAAGTGAACACTTAGAAGTTTTGTTAAGTGTATATATATGTGTGTGTGTGTGTGTTTGGGTGTGTGTGTGTGTGTGTGTGTGTGTAAATCTTTTTAAAAAAGAAACACGAAAACCTTTAGTTTAGCTTTAGCGCTTTCATTTTAAATCTTCAGAAGCTTTATAATACGTAACATTGCAACATAACTACATAATAAGCGGAACATTACATACAAACGTCTTTTGTGACGTCATAGTCAAACTTTGCGGGAAAACTGTAGAATGAAAATAATAAGTTTTTACAACAATTATGCTCAATTGTTCAGTCTAGGTTTGAACATATGTATGAATATATGAAATTACGTGTGCTGGATGCCAAGAATTTTATATCGGGGAAACGAGCAATCAATTGCGTGCCCGGGTGCGTGTCCACCGACAACATATTAACTCTCCGGAATATCGGCAAATCCTTCTGAGTGAACATCTGGATACTTGTGGAAATAAGCAATTCACTATATTTCCTTTTTACAAACTTTAAAGTGAAAATAATATTCAAAGACGTGAAAAAGAAAAACATTTTATACATATGTTCAAACCTAGACTGAACAATTGAGCATAATTGTTGTAAAAACTGTACTTATTATTTACATTCTACAGTTTTCCCGTACAGTTTGACTATGACGTCACAAAAGACGTTTGTATGTAATCTTCAGCTTATTATGACGTTATGACGTTATGTTGCTATGTTACGTATTATAAAGCTTCTGAAGATTTAAAATGAAAGCGCTTAAGCTAAACTAAAGGTTTTCGTGTTTCTTTTTTAAAAAGATTTACCTGTTAACTACCGAGCACTGTGGATTTATATATATATATATATATATATATATATATATATATATATATATATATATATATATATATATATATATATATATAATAATAATAATAATAATAAAAAATCACAACACCGAAATCAACATCCATATTGTGACGTCATAAAGCGCCAATACTTAGTCGCGCTTTAGCAAAGTTCATTATGAGGTCATATATTGGTCGAACATATTGGGATCTGCGCTTTTCCAGAATAAGCGAACCGAAAAATTCTTAATTTAGAAATCAAATGCAATGTCACGTGATCGCTATCCGTAGGTACGTTAAGAAATTAAGGAATTTGATAAAATTTAAGAAATCAGAATTAAAATAAAAGAAATCTTTTACGAAGCTTTATACTTTAGCTAGATCAAATAAGGTGTTTCGGGGCAAATTTTTAGGTAAATAAGATGAAAATTCTCATTTTTCTAATGAAAAATTAGTCACCCGCATGGCGCAGTAGTTAGAGCGTCTACTCTAGGTTGTAAGGAGTTGATCCTTAGGTCGCAGGTTCGAATCCCACTGTGGGACGTGGAGACCAGTCCTTTGGATGAAACCGTATAAACCGAGGTCCCGTGTCGTAGTAGGTGCTGGCACGAAAAAGATCCCTTTCTACAAAATTGCCCTGAGTGGCGAGTTTAGGACAAACTTGCAGCTCTCCACCGGAAAGTGGTGGCGTCTCCATATGTGTAAAAATTTCTCGAGAGGGACGTAAAAGAATATACATTCAATCCATCCAATGAAAAATTAAGAAAATCAGTCATAAATATGGGAGTTTAAATTCCATGATTAATATGGAGATAACGAACAGTATTTAATCTCAAAGTCCATAAAACAATACAAAATAAGAGCAGAGCAAACACGGCTCTCCGAAACATCAGAGGTGGGATCAGGTGCCATGGAGGAGTGAGCATCCCCTGTTGACTAGTCAAATCCGCCATGTGCTCCTTGTCATGATCAGGAAGTAACGGAAAACTCTTTCGTCAATTTAGTGTATAAATATTGGACTAACAATTAGTATGAAAAACGTCAGTCAGAATTTGACTTAATGATAAATTGTATTTGCTGACAAGGTCTTTGTATCGACCATACAACTTACGAAATGATGACTTCAAATGAGACGGCTGATATTATTGTTTCATCAACTTGCTTGTCAATAATTAACCTCGTTTTAGAAATTGTTCATACGTAGAGCAAGCTCTTGCGTATCGAATCAACTGAGATTTATACACTCCGTATGCAGGTGACGAAGGTATATTGCTGCTTAAGTAAGGGAAGTTAACGATAGAAATTTAAAGTCATCACGTGATATCAGCCATAAAAAAGGTATTCAGCCTTCAATCTGTCAAAAACAGATATTTGTATGTTAATGACCTCCTTTTAAAAATAATGTAAAATTAAATATAGGTATCAGGACTACTTTTCACGTAAATTCAAATTAAATTCCATGAAATACTTTATACTTTTATAAGAGGGGTAAAGTAAGGGAAAAGAAAGTTAAAAAGTGATTATGACTTCATGATTAATATAGCACCAAAACATTAGTCAAATGACCTTTACACGATCCTGACCTAAAGTAAAAATATTTTGAAATTTTTGTGTCTAAATGTGGCAACCCTCGTATATCTTATTTATTGTTAAAATAAGAAGTGACATATAAGAAATACTTCCATTTAAATGGAATCTACAATTTACAGTTATGTTTACTTTAAACTGTCGGATTTTTTCCTCCCAATGAGTCGCCACAATTAAGACCACGGGCTTCAGCTCCTTATCATTCTCAGAACTGCAGTAGGTATGTATTGACTTCATCCAGAACACAAAGTAGTCTACAATAAACATATATACATTTAAGGACAGATGACACAAACAAAAAATGGATGCCTGGACTGATATTTTTTGGCCTAATTTCGTTAAAAATGACACAATAAAGAAATTTCTAGAATATAAAGAAATTGTAAACCTTCTATGATGTTAAAAACGCTACATCTCTGAAACAATCCTTATTCATCTATGCAAAAATTTCTTACTTCAAATTCCATTTGTACTAGGGCTGATCAAGAAGTTCGCGAATAATCTTTATATTTACAAATCAATAATTCAGACAAGACTGAAATTTGGCACACATAAAGTCATACACATGTTCTATAAATAGCATATGTAATGGAACGTTTTCCCCGTGTTTGCGACGTCACAATGTGAAAATGACGTTATAAGGTAGATCACTTGTGACAAAAAATTGTCGACTTAGTCGTATTCGAGAAACGAAGGGCTGTAAAGTTAAACGTATATCTTGGAAATTCCTTTGTAGAAGTTTATAATAATTTGTATATGGTTTATGAAGACAAAAGACTAGAAGTTTTGTCATTCATTGGATTGATTGTTTGATGGAAGGAAGGGAAATATTTTAAATGATTTTTGTTCTGTTGCCCATTTAGTTTGCAAACTTTCTGATCACCCCTCGTATGAAAATTTGAATAAACAAGAGGCCCATGGGCTCACCTGAGCACTAAAGGTAGGATTGATTAATTGATTGCATATTGTTTAACGTCCCTCTCGAGAAATTTTCACTCATATGGAGACGCCACCACTTGCCGGTGGAGGGCTACAAATTTTCTCCTATGCTCGGCACTCGGGGCCTTTGAGCAGTGAGGGATCTTTTTCGTGCCAACACCTACTGCGACACGGGACCTCGGTTTATACGGTCTCATCCGAAGGACCGTTCTCCACGTCCCGAAGTGGGATTCGAACCGGCGACGTAAGGATTGACTCCTTACTTCGCGACTCTAGAGCAGACGCTCTAACCACTGCGCCACGCGGGCGACCTAAAGGTAGGAAAAAGTAGAAAATGGTTTTTTATTGTAAAGTTTAAATCCAAAAGTAGTCCAATGACCATTCATGGATTTGCGATTTTTTTAGAAAATGATTTTTAAAGAATTTTCCTATATATATATATATATATATATATATATATATATGTATATATATATATCTTTGAAAACTTTGGTCGGCCATTTTGGCCCCGCCCTACCCCCTTGGGTCATGATTTGAACAAACTTGAATCTACACTACCTGAGCATACTTCCATATAAATATGATGAATTATGGCTTTGTCATTCTTGAGAAGAAGATTTTTAAAGAATTTTCCTATATATTTCATTGTAAAACTTTGGTCGGCCATTTTGGCCCCGACCTACCCCCGGGGGTCATGATTTGAACAAATTTGAATCTACACTACCTGAGCATGCTCCCATATTAATATGATGAATTATGGCTTTGTCATTCCTGAGAAGTAGATTTTTAAAGAATTTTCCTAAATATTTCTATGTAAAACTTTGGTCGGCCATTTTGGCCCCGGCCTACCCCCGGCGGTCATGAATTGAACAAACTTGAATCTACACTACCTGAGGATGTTTTTCCATAAGTTTCATTTTATCTGGCACAGTGGTTCTTGAGAATAAGATTTTTAAAATATGCCACTTAATGTTCATTTATTCCCAATTATCTCCCCTTGAATGAGGGCGTGACCCTTCATTTGAACAAACTTGAATCCCCTTTACCCAAGAATACTTTGTGGCAAGTTTGGTTGAAATTGGCCCAGCAGATCTTGAGAAGAAGTCGAAAATATGAGAAGTTTACAGACAGACGGACAGACAAACAGACAGAAGGACGCCGGACAAAATGTGATCAGAAAAGCTCACTTGAGCTTTCAGCTCAGGTGAGCTAAAAATGAAAAACTACTCGGGTGAAACTTGTTCATTTTACTCATTAAAACAAGAATCATCTTGTTATTTTCAAGTTTTTGAACTAAAGTTTGTATCATCCGTCTTTAAACATAAAATCTTTTTAATTACTACATATATTGATACAATAATCATCATACTTCTATTAAAATGTTTCCTACATAAAGTTCAGAAGGAAGAATAACTATCTTCTATAGTCCACGCTTAGCAAAACTATTCCCCGAGGTAAAGTTTTTGCTATCCACCTTCGGAAAATTGTCATGCAATTTTTGCCGCCGATTTTAATTTCCAGTAATAAATCTAATGACTGATGATGTCATATTGACTTCAGTAGCATTTTGACGTTATAAGGATTTAAACTCATTCTTACAGTATTATCTTACTCCAAAAATACAGTATTATCTTACTCCAAAATTTGAAGTATTAAATACAATTTTCAGAGTTTTGTATTTTTTTTTCTAGAAACTTGAGATGTCACCCTAAAAAATCGAGATGGTAAACATTCGATTGTTTAATCTTTAAACAATAAATATTACAGTAAAAATTAATTAACAAAAATTTTCAAAATCCCTAAGGCAGAAAAAAAGTAGACTCGGCCTCTTTAATATAAAAATAAAGATTATTATCATTTATAGAATAGTTGCTGATCCATTTTGTTGCCATGGTTTTTTTTAAGCCTTTTTAGATGCTCCTTTTAGATTCATATATTTACATATGAGACATCAAATTACAATTAAAACGGAGAAGGCAAGTTATAACCGAGGTTATAACATTTATTCACGTACCTCCATAGGTCCATCCAGAAAATACGCTTCCGTCTTGATCACATACTTTCTTATCCACCTTCTGGTCAAGACGTTTAGAGGCGTCCACCACCACAACATAGAAAGCTCTCCTGGTCAGGTAAATCTGGTGACAGGCGTAGTATGCACACTGTCCTCCAAAGTCAAAGAAAGTAAGCGCCTTAGCGGTAACATTTGTAGCAGAGTCTTCTCCATTTTTATCATCATTGTTTATTTGTCGCGCTAAAAATTGAAATCAGCTAGTCTAAAGAATGATCCTCAAATGACGCCAATGTAAGAGTAAAATTTTGACATGCTTCATAAAACTACAATTATGATCACTGGCATGCATGTATGCTATCAGATAATCAACATTAACAGCAGTCATTATTACCTTTACTAGATTATGATGATAATTAATAAAATGTCTAGTTTGTTGTTGAAAAAGTGATATAATTTAGGTGGTTATAAAAAAAAATTATCTGACATTTCCGACTGTCGTTTATATCCCTGGCTATACAATGATTTCTGATATTGACCTCCAATATACAATATAGGTCTCAATATATTATATTTTTAGAACAAATTTTACATCCTTTCTCAAAAAAAACTTTGCCGAGAAATGAAAATATCTACATCGTTTTTCGCCCGAAAATCGAATAATTTGACCAATATTTGAAATATTGTAAAACACTGACCCCAATTGTTTCTTTCATTAGTTTAAATTACTCGATTTTTGTGACGGATCTACACTAAAATTGTAAAATGTTTCATACAAGAAAATATTTTATTGCCTATTTGGAATTTTAGCCCCCCAAACAACTTCCTTTTTAGTGAAAAAGGTCACACATTAATTGACACTCATTAATTTTCAAAATTTGTTCAATGATAAAAAAATTCAATGAAACATAGAGAAATAACGGACAGTATTCAAGATCAAATTCAATTAAAAAATATAAAACAGGAGCAAAACAAACATGGACCTCCAAAACATCAGAGGTGGGATCAGGTGGAGGAGTAAGCATCCCATGCAGACCGGTCAAGTGTTCCATGTCATGATCGGGAAAAAACGGAAGAATCCGTCGTCAATTCAGTGTGTAAATAATAGAATAACAATAAGTATGAAAAACATTAGTCAGCATTTGACACAATGAAAAATTGTAGGTGCTGACAAGGTACTTGTACCGACCATAGAACTTACGAAATGATGAATTTAAACAAGACAGCTGAAATTCTTGTTTCATCAATTTGTTTGTCAATAATTTACCTCGTTTTAGTAATTGTTCATATTACGTAGAACATGCCCTTGCGTATCGAATTAACTGAGATAAATAAACTCCGTATGCAGGGAATGACGGTATATTGCTGCATAGGTAAGGAAAAATGACAATAGAGAAAGTTAAAGTCATCACATTTATCATAGATCTTGGTTGTTAAATTACTATGAACGTTTTTTGGAGTAAACAAGAGGCCCACGGGCCTTATAGGTCACCTAAGTATCATGTAACAACTTCAACAATTGAATTTGTTTCGTGTTTTAAAGCAGAGGCCATGAAAATCACAACTTTGATAGAGAAACCACTGCTTATCATAATTATAAACTTAGCATGCTTACTCCATTTACTTACTACCCAGAGGTAGATCAGAGAGAAAATGCACTTCCACTTTATAACCAGTTGTGCACCCCACCCCAAAGAAAGCATTGACCCTGGAGCCACATATTTCAAATTTTTAGAAATTTTATCATAGATTTTATTTCATCAAAAATGGTTGATTAATACCAGAGAGCAGATTTTAGAGCATTAATTCATTTTCAGACTTTGTACCCCCCCCCCCCCTCTGATACCCCTGACCCGGGGTCATGAAATTAACCATTCTGCTAGATGCACCTTTATTCCTCATGAATATATATACCTGGATTATTAGCAAATACCCTGGAGCATAAGAATTTTTTTTCAAAGAATTAATGCATTTTCACTGCATTATCAAAAGAGCCCCCCATCCCCACCCCTTACACCGAATGGCAAAGCCCCTGACACAGGGGCCAAGAAATAAACAAATTCAGTTGAAGCATTATAACTTTATACTAAATTAGTTTATTTAATATCCAGAAACAGAAAAGAAGTTTTCTATAGAGCCCTGCCTTAACACCAGAACCCATGACTCTGGGGCCATAAAATTCAGAAATTTGGAAAGACACTCTTACTTACCATAACATTAACTATGTACTTAGTTAGTTTATTTAATACTCGGGAGCAGAGAAGAAGATTTCAAAGAATCACTGCATTTTCACAATAAATTCAATAGAGTCCCGCCATAACATTAGAACTCCTGACCCTTGGGCCACAAAATTCAGAAATTTGGTAAAGTCACTTTTACTTATCATAACTATATACATGTACTTAGTTAGTTTATTTAATACCCAGGGGCAGAGAAGAAGATTTTGAAAAAATTAATGCATTTTCATTATATAATCAATAGAGCCCCGTCCTAACACCAGAATCCCTGACTCTGGGGCAATAAAATTCACAATTTTGGTAGAGGCACTATTGCTCATCATAACTATGTACTAACTTAGATTATTAATACCCAGGAGCAGAGACGACGATTTTAAAAAAAATAATGCATATTCACTATTTAATCAAAAGAGCCCCACCCTAGCCCAGAACCCCAGGTCCGGGGCCATAAATTGCACAATTTTGGTAGAGGGCTCAATGGTAATCATGCTAACGATTTGACTGCTTGATGTCCAGGAGTAAAGAAAAAGATTTATAAAGATAGCATTAATTTTAGTGGTTTTGGCCCCACCCCTCAGGCCCAAGGGGGGCAGGGACCATGACATTCATTTTTGGTCCGCTTTAATCATAAATGATTGATGCCAAATTTGGTGGAAATTGGTTGAGTGGTTGCAGAGAAGAAGCTGAAAATGTTCAAATCTTAACACACGGCGCACGACGACAGACGAAAACGGATAGCAATAGAGTTTACTCAGGTGACCTAAAAATCCTAATATAAAAACAAATGTGTCACACTTTGTGGTATCTTTTATCTCAAGCTTAGTAATGCTAGGATATATCGTATCGACATAAGAATGGAAATTACCATTGTTAATTGACAATATTTCGTCGATATATCTAAATTTCGAGTTATGGGCAACAACAGGTGTTTTCTTCTTTTCACTTTTAAGATTTTGCACAATTCTGCTTCATATGAATACATGTACAAGAATAGGTCTGCTAATAAGAAGGTTAATTTGTACCCAAACTATACAATGTAAAATAAAATTATATTTATTACCATGGATACATCTGCTAAAATATAATACTGTTTAAATTAATTAACCAAAGAGTTAAAGAAAATGAAGTTCGAATAGGTCAACTTAATTGTACGGTAGCTCAATAAGATGTACATTGACCCCTTATTTTCTCTCTGATTTTGAGTCGTAACTATCCAATACTGTGGTTTCATCAATATTCGTTGAGCACCAATTTTCGAGGATTTCGTTGTTGTGCAGATCCACGAATTCAAATGTTAATTGAAATACGAAATATGACATTCATTTGTATAAGCCATGCTTTTGTCCACGAAATTACGTTTCCTCGAAAACATCTGTTTTATAAAATCCACGAAAATTGATGCCAACGTAAATTGATGAAACCATGATAAATACCGTATCAGTAGAATTTTCATTGAGGATTTAATTTTGGCATTATTAGCGAGGCTGTTGAGATTGCTAAAATTGAATATCGCTAAAAATAAATTGCGTGTTATTTTTACTAGCTTATTGAGTGAATATTTTAAAATCAATAAAATTACTTTTCGCTAAAATAAAATACCAGTTTTGAAGGAGAAATCGATAAATTTGCGTCTCGCTAAAATTTCCACTTATACAGTACATCTCAAAAATCTTAATATAACAAATTTCACGACAACTTAAATAAAATTCATGGAATTTAATGCATAAGCCTTAATTTATTTATATGTCATATGATAAATTTCACCTGTTTAATTCATTTCTTTTTCTTATTCTTTTTAACACCCCATTAATACGTATACGTACTGCTTGTCATTTATCAAACTTACATTGGCTTTCATTTTAAAAACTTGCATTTATTCGGAATTATCAAGAAATCAACAACGTGGTCTTTAAAGTTTTCATCATTGAGAAGAAATTTTGTAATGTACTAAGTTGTAACCATGAACCAAACTTAAATAAACATTCTTAAGCTACTTATATATGCAGTCATGAAAAAAAGTAGCTAAGTGCTTTTTATAACGTTACCTTTTAATGATCTTGTTTTATCACAAATATCAAATATTTCCTCATGCACCTCCAATCCCTCAGTAGATTTTATTTTCTTTATCTCCTTTTCACTACAACCGAGCAGACGTTTAAGTAGCGTGGTTTTCCCCGCCCCAGCACATCCTACAATCATCCCCCGGGCGTGATGGACTGTCTGTGTTCCTCTCTTAGCGCACTCCACATACCGTTTTCTGGCCTCCTGGTCCCATTTTAGTATTTCTTCTGGGACTCCTACTGTATTTTTAAAAAGTCAGCAAGGTATAACATAAAGATTCATATCTGAACACAAATTATATTTTTTCTTTTCAGTTTCGACTTAAAACTCTGGCATTAATATGCTTCAAGTCTCCGAAATATGTACTATAGTTTTATATTTTATTTGTGTTTAAATGCTTCAAGAAATTGCAATTTTTACTTGCTGATTCATCGGCTTTATTTTCAGCTAGGACATCTATTTTTATTACATGTATGTAAAAGAACACCGTTTGTGTTTTAGAAAAGAAACATAGTGACTTTTTTCAAGTGTTACAGGGTATTTCAGCTAAATAGTCCCCTCATGTGATAAGTATCTCCAAATATCAAGCATATTATATTATGTAAATGATCATATGTACGCTTTAATACAATTACATTTGAACAATTAAAAACTACATGTAATTTCGCAAAAATAATGATAAAGTTCTGCAAGAATGTACACAAAATACAGGAATGCAACATCACAGCATGTCATATTAAAAAGAATTGTGATGATATTGTTAAGATTTGATAAACACAGAGGTAAAAATGTTCTTACAACGTTTACTGATTTTGTCATGAATCCTCCCGTCAGACGTGGTACAGTGTGAGATGATGTCCAGCTGTAGTTTGTCTATAAGGAGGTCGTACATCTTCTCCGGTATGTCCGGTACATACAGACATCTCTCTCCCTCACTCCTCTTATAATACCAGGACCGGCAGTATTCTGATATAACGTCATGTGACGCCGAGGTCAGGAAAAAATCCAAATCTCTGTCCTCCACCAGACACTCCGTAACGAAGGCGTACATGACGTCATGTCTGATGTCGTCTGATTTAAACGTTATCACACCATTATGTGTTTCTGTGATTTCATCTGGAAGATCTCTCAAGTCTTTTTCAGTAATATTAGAGAAATATCTTTCTCTGATTTTGCCTTTTAGGATCCTGTGTGATTGTTTTTTGAAATTCAGCTGATATTTTTCAGTTAGCAGTAAGCAGTACAATAGACACCTGACTTCTGGTGAATAAGTATGATGTTTATCTTAAACGAAAAAAGACATGAACAAATAAATAAATCACCATACAAATAGGCAGAAATATTATTTTTAAAAAATGAGAAAAAATATGAAAAATATATAATTAACGTAAATAAATGAAAGATAAACATTCAAACAATTTTCGCTACATCTAATCATTTTGTACATTATATACAGTTTCATTAAATATAGAGGTATCAGAAAAGGACCCCTTTCTCAATTGCTACTTTAGTCAACGATGAGTTACTCCGATCAATAAAAGGGACGAGGAGACGACTTATTACGTATTTTTGCGGCCCGTTGTACAAAAGGTCATAAGTCGTAGATTTGGTTATACCACCGAATTTACGGCATAGAACTGTTTTACAAAGATTTGAGACTTGCAAGTTGCGACAAAATTCGGCCGTAAGTCTATGACCACCCGGAGGCTGCCACACGTCCTATGTTTCGTCTCAAAGTTTTTTCTGTAAGTCGTTAAACAACATTACAATAGTAAGTAAAAATATTCATCATGACTGAAGTACATGTATACGAAAATATTAAACAGTTCAATACTAATACAATTAGATTCCAATTATTAATTCTCTAACAATTTCAAGCGACAGAGATGACACTTATTTTTTTCTGGAAAGCTAACATCCCTCTTACTTTGTTTTCTGTAAGCTTTGTTGTCGATGATGTAAAGGTCCCAGTGTGGATGTAGACCTATACAAGATCTCACGATGTCAGGTCTCGCTTCACGGTCGTATCTCCAGAGCCACATCACGTAATTTACACCGTCCGGTGATCGTCCCCTGTAGTCTTCAACTTTCCCTTCTTGTCTCAGATCTTTTAAAAATTCTTTTCGTTTATATTTGTTGCTCTTTAACATATTTGCTGGGATTTTCACTGCAGAAAAAGAAAATTGTCTAAAAAACATTTAGAGTTAACACTCTTATGCAAGTACAAATACAAGTAAATTTATCGATTAATTAAAGGTGTGTGTTAAGTTATTCGATTAATTATATTTTTCAGTTTTAATTTCTACAATTATTTTCATTAAAGTTTATGACATAAATGAAGGATAATATGAATAAATACCAAAAATATACTGAATTATAATAGCTTCGATTCACTCTTCAAAAAATAAAACAAAAATAATCACTAATACATTCTGAAAGGAGACATAAATAAATCACATTTCTGTACTCTGACTTACATATCTGGTGTATCTCAGCATATATATCCGTGTCCACCATGGTGACGTGAGTCAGTATGTTCATCTGTAGACGGCGAATCAGTAAGGAATCATCAGAGTTTGTTCTACTAATGACAGACTTCTCTCCAGGTTTTCTGTTGTATCTGTATGATCGCAGGTACACACTGGCTATGTTATAACTACTGTAATGGAATGGTATACGACTGTCAATTGATGCTATCCTATACATTGTCTCATCCTTTGTGTCCTTTGTGATCTTATCCTGACCTCCCCAAAGGTAATCACGTGACTTCAATCTATCCAGAGTTTCCTGTGCTTCCTCATGTGTGACAGATTTATAGTGCACTCTCCGTGGTAACTTATTAATCAAGTCCAGCCATTCTGTGTCAGAGAAGTCAGGAGGACCGGAGTCAGAACACAGAAAACAGAATAACACGGACACCTCATCATCAGTCAGTGTGGAGAACTGATCTGAAAATAAAAATTAAAAATACATCTGTAACTACCCACAAAAACATTTATACAGCATGAAAGAAAGCCATAGATATTAGGACTAAACCTGAATTAAAACATTGTACTTCGTATTATGTGCATAAGTATATGCGCACTCACTTATAATTTTCCCCTTCTTAGGATAACATTTTGCTTGACTTATAATTGCAAGTTTCAACAGTATAGAAATAAGCAGGAAAAGAATGCTAGAATGTTGCCAATTTCACGCGCCTGAATATTAAGCTCGTTACGCTACATTTTTGTATTAACGAAATAATAGAGTCAGATTATCACTGACTTATGTACATGTAACGTGGTTATATTTAATTCCTTGGAATACGGTTAATAAAATATCATCTCTAATTTTTAGTATCAAACAAGAGGCTAAAATTCTTTTTTCAAGGTCGAGTAGGGCGGTATCGTTTTCTTAGATCCACCATATTTTTGTGTTTGTTTTCAACATATTTTATTTACAATATTATCAAAGTGATTGGACACAAGTTCCTGAAAACTTAGATAGGGTACTGATCGGAGTTTTATCATTTAAGGCTTTTTTATTCATGAATTTAAGATGACAGCAACAGTAAATCCCATCTAGACTAGGTTTGATCTTGTGCCTCTATACATTTTTTTATAATCTATAACATTTATCATTAATGCCTACATTATATTAATTGGCACGAATTAAGAGTAACAATGTGTAAGTAGGTAGGGGAGGGGGTTGTATGTATAGATAATTGAATAAATACAGACCAGAAAGCTTTGTCGTCCATATGTGGTAATCACTCAAGTTAATATTCTGCAATTGCTCTACAATAAAAGTAAAAAAAATAGAATACTTTGAATAAAACATTTAATAATATACAGTTAATTAGTTCTATGACACTTTGTGAATTTTCTAAAATATGTGCCCCTGTAATAAATAATATCATTATGCCGGTTCATAATTAAAAAAAATTCTCTCATGGTAATATTGTCTATCCAGAAATAATTGTCCTGACTCCTGGGTGCTAAATCTAACCTTGCCGTAAATACAATGTATACTCTGTCATAAAGCTTAGAGGTACCAAAGAATACACCAAGGAGTGAGAGGGTCAGTGCATAACACGTGGAGGCAGATTTTCACAAACGTCATTTTGGGAATCTCAATATCAATTATAAAAATCCGTATAATTTTTGCCGTTGTTATATTTTGAAATAAAAGAAAAACATTTTAATTGGATTCTTAAAATGAAGATAAATAATAATAATAATGAGCTAAGACTGTGTTAGAAGATTTGTTTAGACGGAAAGCTTCTTCTTTTACAGACGTTTTTTTCAAAGAGTTTTTTTTTTTGCAGACTTTAGATTGGCTAAAATTAATTCCATTTTAAACGTCATACAAAAACATCAAAACATACGTTGGAGGGAGAAAATAATGAGCAAACAAAAATTTAATTAAATGAGTATTTACAAATGCTGATTGTTATATAAAATGTAATTTTAGTTGTTAAAAGTAAAAGCAGACTTGAGTACAAACTAAAAAAATACCGCCTTTGAAAGATTCGTTTCAACCGGTTTTTTCCAGAACACATTTAACGTAGAATTAACTTTGGGTAGTCTTATATATCATTCTTTAGATTTTAAAAAAGTAACTCTTATTTCAGGAACTCATTCCTTTAACCATAAAACACAAGTTATATAATTTTGTACCCGTCCGCCTTGACAAAAACAGCCATTAATAAGACGCGTTTGTAAAACAGTAATGCCCAATAAGGCAGCTTATGGCAACTATGGATGCAAGTCAAACTACAAGGTTAAGGTTAAAAGGTCAAAATTGTTAGTATCCCAAAAAAGTCTTTTCAATAGAAACAAACATGTGAATATCAAAGTCGTGGTACTACCTGTTCAAAAGTTATAGCCATGGTTTAGGTTTTAAAAAGAGGGTCAAACACAAGGTGAACGTCAAAAGGACAAAAATGTTTATACCCTATGAAATGCTTTCTCACAATACACTTGTGAAGTATGAAATCCCTAGCACCAACTGTTGAAAAGTTTTGCTTACTATCATATTACTATCATTTTCATTGAAAAAGTCTAAAAAGTCTAAATAATGATCTATAAACAAGGTAATAGCAAGCAAATTCAAAGATTGTGGTCTTCCGCTGTCGTTGTCCTTGTAGCTGAGATGTCATTTTTATGGCTTATTGTGTCAAATATGAACGCCCGAACATATGAGGCTGACCTCTCACGGTAGCTCAGTCAAAAGAGCGCTCGCTTCGTGATCGGGAGGTCGTGAGTTCGAATCTCGACCGCCACTGACCTAAGTCGATAAAAAATTGTTAGCAACTGTTCCTTATGCGCTCGGCATTTTGAAGTGAAAGTTGCGGGTCCTTCGGATGAGACCTTAAAAACCGAGTCCCCGTGTCAGCGGCAGGCGCTGGCACGAAAAAGATTCCTCACTGCTCATTGGCCCTGAGTGCCGAGTAAAGGTCAAAATTTAAAGCCCTTCACAGGCATACGTTGACGTCTCCATATGAGTGAAAAATTCTCGAGAGGGACGTTAAACAATATACAATCAATCAATCATATGAGGCTGAAAATTTATCAATGGAGATATTTTTTTTTAAATAAGGTCAATCGTGAAGTTCAAGGTGAAGGCCCTGGGTAAAAAAAATCATAGCATGCTCGGAAATATCTTGTTACAGGTAGGTAATGCACATGTCAAATATGAAAGTCAACATGAGAAATCATAGTATATTTAAAAATGTTTTGTCATATGTAATACAATGTAATACAGATGTTTATATCAAAGCCTATCTTTCTTACTCAAACCTTATGATCTATTCAAAGTAATGTTGAAAAGTAGGTCAAACTTCAAGGTCAAGGTCCTTGGGTGTATATAGAAAGGTCTTGTCAGAGGTAATATACATGTGTTTAATATGAAAACCCTATCTCTTCTCATTCAAAAGAAATTACCGAGGTTAAATTTTTTGAAAGTAGTACAAACTTCAAGGTCAAGGCAATGAGGTAAAAAAATCGTAGTGCTTTCAGAAAGGTCTTCTCTCAGGTACATGTACAAACATGTTTAACCCCCTTTCCCCGCAGTCAAGCGTTTTAACGCATACACCATTTCCTTTTTCTAACGCAGAATCACGCATATACCGTTTCCCCGCAATCACGCATTTTCACGCACTTTAAAAATTTCAATTATTTTTTAATTTAATGCCAATTTCCTTTTATTTTATACTTGTAAAAATCTCATAAAATAAGAAAAGTTAATTTTGAATTAACATGATAATATTTTCGCTAAACTTTAGAGAAACATGTACCACGCTACAAGGTTCTTGCGGGGAAATCGTAAATTTCTATTTCTATGACGTGAACATTAAGTATGTGTTGCAAAACAGTTCAGTAAGTTGTAAAGAGTTAAAGCAATATGAGCTGCAACTCTGATGTCCAAAAATTTAATTGCAATATTAATATTATGATGATTTATATCAATGACAAAAATAAAGAACATTTTTGCAATGAAAGAACAATTATAATCTCAGATTGAAGCAAAAATTCTCTTCTAATTAAAAAATATTACCAAAGTTAAAGTTTTTTGTAACGGATGGACAGACTGACAGACGGACAGACGGACAGACGAATGAGTTGTAATGTCCCCGCGCTTTCTCGAATCAGGGGGCAATAATATTCTAGAAACAATTTAATGATAAAATGACTGCTCCCTCAACTATAGATCAAACCTAGATTTATCCGAGTTGTCTTTAAAATATTTTAATTTGCAGAAGGCTTGATTGTCAAGTAAGATATTATAAAATCTGAATTTAAGTTTATTTTGGTACATTTAAAAATTCCGAAATCGATTAAAGCACCAGAAACAGAAAAAACATACCTTTTTTAGCCGGTGTCTTATATTGAACATTAACAGAACATATACATGTCGTAGATTTTACAAAAATATTAAAGACTAAAGTAAATTAATTTCAATTATTTACAGTCATTTATTCCGTTAATACTTGAAATTATTGGACCTTTTGACTCTAAAGTATGCTAGTGATTATTTTTTTTTCTTAATGTGTATATAAAGCATATCACGTTAGGGCCCTTTATCCACATTTATTTTTCCCATAAATAAAGGTGGAATGATTTAATAAAGACGTTAACGGTAATCAAACAATTAAGCTCTATGATGAACGTGATGACTTTAACTTTTCAATTGTCAACATACTTTTGCAGCGATATACAAAATACTTAAATTAACAATCACATTGCACCTTCATCACCTGCATACGGCGTTTTATATCTCAATTGGTTTGATAGGCAAGGGCATGCTCTACGTATTTCTAATGTGAGGTATATTATTGACAAACATGTTGATGAAACAGAAATATCAGCAGTCTCGTTTAAAGTCATCCTTTCGTAAGTTCTTTTGTCGAAACAATTTTTTGTCAGCAATTTATCATTGAGTCAAATGCTGACTGACGTTTTTCATAATTATTGTTAGTCTATTATTTATACCTGCGTTTACGACGGATTTTTTAAAGTTATTTCCCAATTATAAAAAAAAGAGCACACGGCGGATGTGACCGGTCAGCAGGGGATGGTCACCCCTCCATGGCACCTGATCCCACCTCCGATGTTTTGGAAGTCTGTGTTTACTTTGCTCCTATTTTGCATTGTTTTATGGACTTTGATATTGAATAATATCTGATATATCATATCCTCTTATATAACACACTTTGTTTTTTAACAAAAATTCAAAACATAAAGTGAGGGGTAAATATTCTTCTTTAGGCTTTAGAGTACATTTAATATGACTGTTCTGTAATGAAATTTGTCTCCAAAATCAAAAATAACATCTTCGACGTTTTCCTCTCAATCTTCATCTGAATAAACCATGGGACAACATAAACTTTTAATTTATTAAAAAAGACTCATTATGATTAAATTTTGACTAAGAACAAAGTTTTAAATTGTTTCGCATAGTATTT